TATATAGCTTGATGGTTCAGGAAGACGGTTTTACAGAGTAATGATACTTAGCTTGATGGTTCAGGATAACGATGGCACAGAGTAAGGATATATAGGGTGATGGTTCAGGAAGACGGTGGTACAGAGCAATGATAAATAGCTTGATGGTTCAGGAAGACGGTGGCACAGGGTAATGATATATAGTCTGATGGTTGAGGAAGACGGTGGTACAGAGCAATGAAAAATAGCTTGATGGTTCTCGAAGACGGTGGTACAGAGCAATGGTAAATATCTTGATGTTTGAGGAAGACGGTGGTACAGAGTAATGATATATAGTCTGATTTTTTAGGAAGACGGTGGTACAGAGCAATGATATATAGCTTGATGGTTCAAGAAGACGGTGGTATAGAGGAATGATAAATAGCTTGATGGTTCAAGAATACGGTGGCACAGAGCAATGATAAATAACTTGATGGTTCACGAAGGCGGTGGTACATACTAATGAGAAATAGCTTGATGGTTGAGGAAGACGGTGGTACAGGGTAATGATATATAGTCTGATGGTTCACGAGGACGGTGGTACAGAGCAATGAAAAATAGCTTGATGGTTCACGAAGACGGTGGTACAGAGCAATGATATATAGCTTGATGGTTCAGGAAGACGGTTTTACAGAGTAATGATACTTAGCTTGATGGTTCAGGATAACGATGGCACAGAGTAAGGATATATAGGGTGATGGTTCAGGAAGACGGTGGTACAGAGCAATGAAAAATAGCTTGATGGTCCTGAAGACTATGGTACTGAATAATGATACTTAGCTTGATGGTTCAGGAAGACGGTGGTACAGAGTAATGATACTGAAGTTGATGGTTCAGGAAGACGGTGGTACAGGGTAATGATATATAGTCTGATGGTTGAGGAAGACGGTGGTACAGAGCAACGAAAAATAGCTTGATGGTTGAGGAAGACGTTGTCACAGAGCAATGATACTTAGCTTGATTGTTCAGGAAGACGGTGGTACAGAGCAATGAAAATTAGCTTGATGGTTCAGGAAGACGGTGGTACAGAGCATTGAAAAATAGCTTGATGGTTCAGGAAGACGGTGGTACAGAGTAATGATACCCAGCTTGATGGTTCAGGAAGACGGTGGCACAGAGTAATGATACTTAGCTTGATGGTACAGGCAGACGGTGGTACAGAGTAATGATACTTAGCTTGATGGTTCAGGCAGACGGTGGTACAGAGTAATGATACTGAAGTTGATGGTTCAGGAAGACGGTGGTACAGAGCAACGAAAAATAGCTTGATGGTTGAGGAAGACGTTGTCACAGAGCAATGATACTTATCTTGATGGTTCAGGAAGACGGTGTCACAGAGTAATGATACTTAGCTTGATGGTTCAGGAAGACGGTGGTACAGAGCAATGAAAATTAGGTTGATGGTTCAGGAAGACGGTGGTACAGAGCATTGAAAAATAGCTTGATGGTTCAGGAAGAAGGTGGTACAGAGTAATGATACACAGCTTGATGGTTCAGGCAGACGGTGGTACAGAGTAATGATACTCAGCTTGATGGTTCAGGAAGACGGTGGTACAGAGTAATGATACTTAGCGTGATGGTTCAGGAAGACGATGGTACAGAGTAATGATACTTAGCTTGATGGTTTAGGAAGACGGTGGTACAGAGCAATGAAAAATAGATTGATGGTTCAGGAAGACGGCGGTACAGATTAATGATACTCAGCTTGATGGTTCAGGAAGACGGCGGTACAGAGTAATGATACTTAGCTTGATGGTTCAGGAAGACGGTGGTACAGAGTAATGATACTTAGCTTGATGGTTCAGGAAGACGGCGGCACAGAGTAATGATACTTAGCTTGATTGTCCTGAAGACGATGGTACAGAGGAATGATACTTAGCTTGATGGTTCAGGAAGACGGTGGTACAGCTAGAGTAATGATACTTAGCTTGATGGTTCAGGAAGACGGTGGTACAGAGTAATGATACTTAGCTTGATGGTTCAGGAAGACGGTGGTACAGAGTAATGATACTCAGATTGATGGTTCAGGAAGACGGTGGTACAGAGTATTGATACTTAGCTTGATGATTGAGGAAGACGGTGGTACAGAGTAATGATACTTAGCTTGATGGTTGAGGAAGACGGTGGTACAGAGTATTGATACTTAGCTTGATGGTTCAGGAAGACGGTGGTACAGAGTAGTGATACTTAGCTTGATGGTTCAGGAAGACGGTGGTACAGAGCAATGATACTCAGCTTGATGGTTCAGGAGTTGTGTAAAATGTCAAAATGAATGGAGTAGTTTCTTCACTTTTAACAGACTTTGCCAAATCTTTCAACCGTTGTGTGTATGTACATATTGTAAGACTTTGTTTTTTGTAACACACGATGTCTACAAAGTCTCATTCTGTACTTCATACATCGATGAAAAACTTTTCTGATCAGCGATGTCGGGGTGTTGCTTTAAAAGAATGCAATATTAAAATGAGAAAACAACAAACACTTTGGTGAGTGTGACACATTTTCATTGAAAATATTGCACATCAATTGCACCCAAATCTTTGTGAGAAACCCCCTGCGTTACATATGTTACCTTTGTCTTCGACATACAGGATGACACAAACAAAGATGTAATAATCAATGCATTAATGAAAACAATAAATGTATAATAAGAGCGCTTGTCGTTTTAGTGCTCCTATTATGTTACGTAACAGGGGGACCTCGCCAGTGTGTAGATCATGTTGTGTTCTTTGTGTCTCATGTTGTGCTACGGGAGTCGTATGTTGTATTATGTGTTTATCTTGTGTTGTGTTCTGTGAATCTCGTCTTATGATCTGTGAATCTCGCGTTGTGTTCTGTCAATGTGTTGTATTCAGTGTGTCTCATGTTGTGTTATGTGTCTCAAGTTGTGTTTTGTATGTCTCATGTAGTGTTATGTATGTCTCATGTTGTGCTATGTGTGTCTCGTGTGGTGTTAAGTGTCTCATGTTGTGTTTTGTGTATCCCATATTGTGTCATGTGCACCTCAAGGTACGTTATGTGTAGCTTCTGCTGTGTTTTGTATGGTGGCCGAGAGGGGACATCGCTTTCTCGCTCTATCGCTTTCTCGCTCTATCGCTTTCTCGCTTTATCGCTTTATCGCTTTATCGCTTTCTCGCGGTAAAGCAATATCCCCTCTTGACCACTACAGGGCCGCATGTGATATCTGCTGCAATTGGGAGGTAATGTTGAACTTTTCTCACTATTTACTTAAAACATAATTTAACTGTACAGACGTAGGTGATTTTAAAACAATCAACCGATTTTTGGTAGATAACTACATAACTCACATCAGAACGCACAATTGTTAACCATACAGTTTAAATGGATAGAGAATTGCTACATAAATATGAATATTCATGCCTGAGCCTATACTATAATTGGATATCTAGTCTCTCCTGGCGGGAAAGTTAAACTTTATTTTACAAGCACTTTAGCATTAAATTTAATTCCCGAAGTCAGTTTGATCGAAAGTCATTATAGGAAACGAGTTGTTTTTAAAAAATATTTACAACGCATTTCATTTCTATTGTCCAAGTAATGTGGTTACGGCTAATGACGCTCTCGAAAGTCGTATATGTGACTTAAGGTAGAGACATATATCTAATTTATCTGTATTTTGTAAGGGAAACATAACTGTGTACATGTACAACTTTTGTTTGCATAATGTACATGCAACTTAATGAACATAATTGTGATCCCGAAATCGGACGAGCACATGTTCGGCTTCAATTCCAAATCTAATTACCGAAAAAAATAATTCTTTGGACGATGCAAACAATACAAACTGAACAAAATGAAAATATGAACAGTGACTATCTGTATTCTGTGAATCTTACTTATTTATTACACTACAAGAAAATATGCAAGCTAAACGAGAAAAAATTACGTGTGTATTTTGTAACATATTTATCTACTACAAGATGTTTAAAAAATCTAATCATAAGAGGCAAAAAAGCGGTGAGAATTACAGGATCACTAAATATCAGCAAAAACCGTTTTAATGTACGGCATTATGGGAAATATCGCTTTCTCGCTCTATCGCTTTCTCGCTCTATCGCTTTATCGCTTTATCGCTTTCTCGCTCTATCGCTTTCTCGCTCTATCGCTTTCTCGCTCTATCGCTTTATCGCTTTCTCGCTCTATCGCTTTATCGCTCTATCGCTTTATCGCTCTATCGCTTTCTTGCTCTATCGCTTTCTTGCTCTATCGCTTCCTCTAATGACTTACCATAGTCATATGAAGGAATCGGGTGTTCTTTAACTTCTTTTGAATAGTATGTACTATAAATCTTGAAATTAATGTTCGAGTTAATTATAAATGAAAAAAAAAAGCGTAGACTTAATAACCATATTCGACGTAATAAGCGCCCAGGGCGCTCTCAAAATTAGAATATTATTTTGGTAAAAAAAAGTTGAGTTTAAAGATTAATTCCTTGGTTTAGGCTGACAGCCTGAGATGTTTATGTACGACAGATATATTTTTCCCGAATTTAATTGCCCATAATTAAGTGTGCATATAAGAGTGCGTATTATACGCGAATAAATAAGTCTTGTGTACATTAATCAATCGGAAGGGGTGCTAACTGGGATTGTTCACTAGCCAATATATTAGCAAATATCGCCGTAGGCGTTTATTAGAGCGGGGCGCTTATTACGTCGAATACGGTAATTATACTTTGCATTTATGTCTCAGAAATGACTGTTGATAAGACGGCCTCACTGAACACGTTGAATAGCGGAAATACCAACTTGAATATAAAACTTATCAACTATCTATTTCCACATTACGGTTACTGAGAACAATATGTCATCCCAAAACTAGAAATTACATAATGGACATCCGGTAGTATTACCATTGCTTGGGTGAGGACTTCCACTTTGATGACATCTACTCCGCAAACAGACTGACTGACTGAGTATGGTTTTACGCCGCTTTTAGCAATATTCCAGCAATATCACGGCGGGGGACACCAGAAATGGGTTTCACACATTGTACCCATGTCGGGAATCGAACCCGGGTCTTCGGCGTTCCGCAAACAGAATAAACATTGATATAAGCGTTGTTTTTTAGGAAAACACTATTGCTTTTTAGGAAGTACGTACTACTCAGCGCTATTGAGCGGTGTGATTTGCTATTTGTTTTGATAACTTGGCCTGGGGGCGGGGGATCCAATAGCTAAATAGGGCCATAAATCAATCAAATTCTTATTTACGCAGGAATACGTGGATTGTTATAAAAGCACATGTCTGTACTGTTAAATTATATTTAAGTAGATAGTGAGAAAATTTCAACATTCCGCCCATATGTATAATTTGAAATGCGACTTGGAAAAATCTCAGCTCTCTTTTATGATTAAAACCAACATTAAAACCCGCCCCCGCCCCTGCGATAGAGCGATAGAGCGAGAAAGCGAGAAAGCGATAGAGCGAGAAAGCGATGTCCCCTCTCGGCCACCATACTTATGTGTGCCTGAAGACACGCCTTGTGTTGTTCATACGAGCTGTGGCGTGTTTTGCATTGGGTAAGAGTTAAAAGCAAGGCAGAGTATGTGATCTCATTCTGTCTCTACTATACTCTGTACTTCCTGATTTGTTGTATACGTTGTAACTGAACATAAAAGTATTTCCGACACAATAACCTTTACGAGCTTTGGCTTGCATTGTCCATGCCGTGTTCAGATGTTTGTAATGAAAACACAATGATACACAGTGAAGCTGCTTGCATCGAATGCATGTGGAAATTAACTCTCAGATCCCGGACGAGTCAATACACAAAAACACACGTCAGGCATTTAGTTTATATAAACCAATCTGATTATTCGTCGTCTTGGCCAGGTCGGCACATGATTTCACATACACGGAGAGGTTTGATCCATTTGTGAGGTGAACTATGCCCTGCAAGATGGAGTATGAATCTTGATTGCCCGTCTCCCCCGTCTCCTTGTACAGCTTCTTGTTGTTGTTCCTGATCTGATGTATATATGTGGTGTTCCCTTTGAACTTGAGGTGGCTGTAAATGTAGTAGTAGCCTCCCGTGGTGACCGCCAGGTACCCGGTCCTGTCCAGCCGAACCCCCTGCACAGTGATGCCGATTCCCCGAGTCACCCACGCCAATGTACCGGAAGAGCACTCTGAAATATCCGAAATGCTTTTCTGTAAGTATGTTTATTTCCGCTTACATCATAACATTTATAGGTTAACACATGTTATATTTGGGATAACACTTTCTGAGTAAATTACAGATTCTCGTACTTTAGGGGGATGAGTCCCGTCCGATTCGAACTCACACTGCTAGCGTGACATTTGTTACATTTCACCACTTTCTAAACAGAATTGTGTATTCATATATATGTTGAAATGATTCAGCATGTTTAGCACTGTGACGAGAACACCTACCAGTGTCAGATGTACTAGTATGTGCAATCACCGGATCCTGTACGTGACAAGTAGGGTTGATGTTCCTGGGCGTTTTCACTGAAACAGCATGGGTGACATATCAAAGAAAGGGATAAATTATGTAACCATTGCCCAATCAAAATTACATTTAACTCTATACAATATTCCCCCTTCATATCAGATCCTTCAGACACAATAGCCCAGCAAACAAATTACAACTTAAACACCCAGACTGGCAGCTGTTACCAAACTCTGTCACAACATAGACACATCCCAAACACAGACAACGACACATTCAACACACCTTTTTACCAACATAATACATGAAATACATGCCAACAAATGCATCCCCAAATCCCAAGTACACACAGTACACAGCCCAGTACCCTGGTGGAGCACTGAAAGCATAAATGCCCGTAAACAGAGAAAAAGGCCTCTCAACCAAAGGGAGAGCGAGCCAAACTACCACTGGCTAAACAGTTAAGAAATAAAACTAAAGAAATAATCAGGGCAGCCAAAAAGAACCACTGGCGCACTTTTTGTAGTAACCTTACAAAAGGTAAACAAAATACTCGAAAAATTAAAGCCATTAGGGGAATTAAAACATACAAATATTTCACCAAACTTCCCGAACCTAACCACAAACAAAAAAAAGCTAATGCTTGCCGCCCATTTTGCAAAACAAAACCCAGTAGCTCCACAAGCCAACATCAAGCATTCCAGGAAAAAATAAAGAAACACCCCAAGTCTGCACAAGCCGTATCTCGTATACAACCAAACACTTAATTATACATCCAAACTACATTCATTTAAAAAAAGAGCAAAATTCCAAAGAAGTCACATTTGACCAACATTTGACCAACACCTAACATGGCCGCCTGCAGCTCAGAAAAAGGGGTGGGGTGTGGGGGTGTGTGTGTGTGGGGGTGTGTGTGTGTGTGGGGGGGGGGGGGGGGAATTCAAACTAACATTATTAAACCCTACAGTGAGCTCCCTGAACACCCTACAGTGATCCCTGAACACCCTACAGTGAGCTCCCTGAACACCCTACAGTGATCCCTGAACACCCTACAGTGTGCTCCCTGGACACCCTACAGTATGCTCCCTGGACATCCTACAGTGTGCTCCCTGAACACCCTACAGTGTGCTCCCTGAACATCCTACAGTGTGCTCCCTGAACACCCTACAGTGTGCTCCCTGGACATCCTACAGTGTGCTCCCTGGACATCCTACAGTGTGCTCCCTGAACACCCTAAAGTGTGCTCCCTGGACACCCTCCAGTGTGCTGCCTGAACATCCTACAGTGTGCTCCCTGAACACCCTACAGTGTGCTCCCCTGAACACCCTACAGCCCTACAGTGTGCTCCCTGAACACCCTACAGCCCTACAGTGTGCTCCCTGAACACCCTACAGTGTGCTCCCTGAACACCCTACAGTGTGCTCCCCTGAACACCCTACAGCCCTACAGTGTGCTCCCTGAACACCCTACAGTGTGCTCCCTGAACACCCTACAGTGTGCTCCCTGGACACCATACAGTGTGCTCCCTGGACATCCTTCACTGTGCTCCCTGGACATCCTACAGTGTGCTCCCTGAACATCCTACAGTGTGCTCCCTGGACATCCTACAGTGTGCTCCCTGAACACCCTACAGTGTGCTCCCTGGACACCCTACAGTGTGCTCCCTGAACACCCTACAGTGTGCTCCCTGGACACCCTACAGTATGCTCCCTGGACATCCTACAGTGTGCTCCCTGGACATCCTACAGTGTGCTCCCTGAACACCCTACAGTGTGCTCCCTGGACACCCTACAGTGTGCTCCCTGGACACCCTACAGTGTGCTCCCTGAACACCATACAGTGAGCTCCATAGACACCCTACAGTGTGCTCCCTGAACACCCTACAGTGTGCTCCCTTGACACCCTACAGTGTGCTCCCTGGACATCCTACAGTGTGCTCCCTTGACACCCTACAGTGTGCTCCCTGAACATCCTACAGTGTGCTTCCTGGACACCCTACAGTGTGCTCCCTGAACATCCTACAGTGTGCTCCCTGGACACCCTACAGTGTGCTCCCTTGACACCCTACAGTGTGCTCCCTGGACATCCTACAGTGTGCTCCCTTGACACCCTACAGTGTGCTCCCTGAACATCCTACAGTGTGCTTCCTGGACACCCTACAGTGTGCTCCCTGAACACCCTACAGTGTGCTCCCTGGACACCCTACAGTGTGCTCCCTGGACACCCTACAGTGTGCCCCCTGGACACCCTACAGTGTGCTCCCTGGACATCCTACAGTGTACTCCCTGGACATCCTACAGTGTGCTGCGTGGACACCCTACAGTGTGCTCCCTGAACACCCTACAGTGTGCTCCCTGAACACCCTACAGTGTGCTCCCTGCACACCCTACAGTGTGCTTCCTGGACACCCTACACTGTGCTTCCTGGACATCCTACAGTGTGCTTCCTGGACACCGTACAGTGTGCTCCCTGAACACCCTACAGTAAGCTCCCTGAACACCCTACAGTGTGCTCCCTGGACACCCTACAGTATGCTCCCTGAACATCCTACAGTGTGCTCCCTGGACACCCTACAGTTTGCTCCCTGAACATCCTACAGTGTGCTCCCTGGACACCCTACAGTGTGCTCCCTGGACACCCTACAGTGTGCTCCTGGACACCCTACAGTGTGCTCCCTGAACACCCTACAGTGTGCTCCCTGAACACCCTACAGTGTGCTCCCTGAACATCCTACACTGTGCTTCCTGGACACCCTACAGTTTGCTCCCTGAACACCCTTCACTGTGCTCCCTGGACACCCTACAGTGTGCTCCTGGACACCCTACAGTGTGCTTCCTGAACACCCTACAGTGTGCTCCCTGAACATCCTACACTGTGCTTCCTGAACACCATACAGTGTGCTCCCTGGACATCCTTCACTGTGCTCCCTGGACATCCTACAGTGTGCTCCCTGAACATCCTACAGTGTGCTCCCTGGACATCCTACAGTGTGCTCCCTGAACACCCTACAGTGTGCTCCCTGGACACCCTACAGTGTGCTCCCTGAACACCCTACAGTGTGCTCCCTGGACACCCTACAGTATGCTCCCTGGACATCCTACAGTGTGCTCCCTGGACATCCTACAGTGTGCTCCCTGAACACCCTACAGTGTGCTCCCTGGACACCCTACAGTGTGCTCCCTGGACACCCTACAGTGTGCTCCCTGAACACCATACAGTGAGCTCCATAGACACCCTACAGTGTGCTCCCTGAACACCCTACAGTGTGCTCCCTTGACACCCTACAGTGTGCTCCCTGGACATCCTACAGTGTGCTCCCTTGACACCCTACAGTGTGCTCCCTGAACATCCTACAGTGTGCTTCCTGGACACCCTACAGTGTGCTCCTTGAACATCCTACAGTGTGCTCCCTGGACACCCTACAGTGTGCTCCCTTGACACCCTACAGTGTGCTCCCTGGACATCCTACAGTGTGCTCCCTTGACACCCTACAGTGTGCTCCCTGAACATCCTACAGTGTGCTTCCTGGACACCCTACAGTGTGCTCCCTGAACACCCTACAGTGTGCTCCCTGGACACCCTACAGTGTGCTCCCTGGACACCCTACAGTGTGCCCCCTGGACACCCTACAGTGTGCTCCCTGGACATCCTACAGTGTGCTCCCTGGACATCCTACAGTGTGCTGCGTGGACACCCTACAGTGTGCTCCCTGAACACCCTACAGTGTGCTCCCTGCACACCCTACAGTGTGCTTCCTGGACACCCTACACTGTGCTTCCTGGACATCCTACAGTGTGCTTCCTGGACACCGTACAGTGTGCTCCCTGAACACCCTACAATAAGCTCCCTGAACACCCTACAGTGTGCTCCCTGGACACCCTACAGTATGCTCCCTGAACATCCTACAGTGTGCTCCCTGGACACCCTACAGTTTGCTCCCTGAACATCCTACAGTGTGCTCCCTGGACACCCTACAGTGTGCTCCCTGGACACCCTACAGTGTGCTCCTGGACACCCTACAGTGTGCTCCCTGAACACCCTACAGTGTGCTCCCTGAACACCCTACAGTGTGCTCCCTGAACATCCTACACTGTGCTTCCTGGACACCCTACAGTTTGCTCCCTGAACACCCTTCACTGTGCTCCCTGGACACCCTACAGTGTGCTCCTGGACACCCTACAGTGTGCTTCCTGAACACCCTACAGTGTGCTCCCTGAACATCCTACACTGTGCTTCCTGGACACCCTACAGTTTGCTCCCTGAACACCCTACACTGTGCTCCCTGGACACCCTACAGTGTGCTCCCTGAACACCCTACAGTGTGCTCCCTGAACACCCTACAGTGTGCTCCCTGGACACCCTACACTGTGCTTCCTGGACACCCTACACTGTGCTTCCTGGACACCCTACAGTTTGCTCCCTGGACACCCTACAGTAAGCTCCCTGAACACCCTACAGTGTGCACCCTGAACACCCTACAGTGTGCACCCTGAACAACCTACAGTGTGCTCCTGGACACCCTACAGTGTGCTCCCTGGACACCCTACAGTGTGCTCCTGGACACCCTACAGTGTGCTCCCTGAACACCCTACAGTGTGCTCCCTGAACACCCTACAGTATGCTCCCTGAACATCCTACACTGTGCTTCCTGGACACCCTACAGTTTGCTCCCTGAACACCCTACAGTGTGCTCCCTGAACACCCTACAGTAAGCTCCCTGAACACCCTACAGTGTGCTCCCTGAACATCCTACCCTGTGCTTCCTGGACACCCTACAGTTTGCTCCCTGAACACCCTACACTGTGCTCCCTGGACACCCTACAGTAAGCTCCCTGGACATCCTACAGTGTGCTCCCTGAACACCCTACAGTGTGCTCCCTGAACACCCTACAGTGTGCTCCCTGGACATCCTTCACTGTGCTCCCTGGACATCCTACAGTGTGCTCCCTGAACATCCTACAGTGTGCTCCCTGGACATCCTACAGTGTGCTGCCTGGACATCCTACAGTGTGCTCCCTGAACACCCTACAGTGTGCTCCCTGGACACCCTACAGTGTGCTCCCTGGACATCCTACAGTGTGCTCCCTGGACACCCTACAGTGTGCTCCCTGGACATCCTACAGTGTGCTCCCTGGACATCATACAGTGTGCTCCCTGGACATCCTACAGTGTGCTCCCTGAACACCCTACAGTGTGCTCCCTGGACACCCTACAGTGTGCTCCCTGGACACCCTACAGTGTGCTCCCTGGACACCCTACAGTGTGCTCCCTGGACACCCTACAGTGTGCTCTCTGGACATCCTACAGTGTGCTTCCTGGTCACCCTACAGTGTCCTCCCTGAACACCCTACAGTGTGCTCCCTGGACACCCTACAGTGTGCTCCCTGGACACCCTACAGTGTGCTCCCTGGACACCCTACAGTGTGCTCCCTGGACATCCTACAGTGTGCTCCCTGGACACCCTCAAGTGTGCTTCCTGGACACCCTACAGTTTGCTCCCTGGACACCCTACAGTGTGCTCCCTGAACAGCCTACAGTGTGCACCCTGAACACCCTACAGTGTGCACCCTGAACAACCTACAGTGTGCTCCTGGACACCCTACAGTGTGCTCCCTGGACACCCTACAGTGTGCTCCTGGACACCCTACAGTGTGCTCCCTGAACACCCTACAGTGTGCTCCCTGAACACCCTACAGTGTGCTCCCTGACCATCCTACACTGTGCTTCCTGGACACCCTACAGTTTGCTCCCTGAACACCCTACACTGTGCTCCCTGGACACCCTACAGTAAGCTCCCTGAACACCCTACAGTGTGCACCCTGAACACCCTACAGTGTGCTCCCTGGACAACCTACAGTGTGCTCCTGGACACCCTACAGTGTGCTCCCTGGACACCCTACAGTGTGCTCCCTGGACACCCTACAGTGTGCTCCCTGGACACCCTACAGTGTGCTCCCTGAACACCCTACAGTGTGCTCCCTGAACACCCTACAGTGTGCTCCCTGGACAACCTACAGTGTGCTCCCTGGACACCCTACGCTCTCTTCTCACAACACAAACATCGTCTGTATACACTCTCTACTCACAACACAAACATCGTCTGTGCACGCTCTCTACTCACAACACAAACATCGTCTGTATACACTCTCTACTCACAACACAAACATCGTCTGTATACACTCTCTACTCAAAACACCAACATCGTCTGTGCGCGCTCTCTACTCACAACACAAACATCGTCTGTATACACTCTCTACTCACAACACAAACATCGTCTGTATACACTCTCTACTCACAACACAAACATCGTCTGTGCACGCTCTCTACTCACAACACAAACATCGTCTGTGCACGCTCTCTACTCACAACACAAACATCGTCTGTATACACTCTCTACTCACAACACAAACATCGTCTGTGCACGCTCTCTACTCACAACACAAACATCGTCAGTATACACTCTCTACCCACAACACAAACATCGTCTGTGCACGCTCTCTACTCACAACACAAACATCATCTGTGCACGCACTCTACTCACAACACAAACATCGTCTGTATACACTCTCTACTCACAACACAAACATCGTCTGTATACGCTCTCTGCTTACAACACAAACATCGTCTGTATACCTACTCAACACAAACACACAACCATCGTCTGTATACCTACTCAACACAAACACACAACCATCACCTGCACACCCTCAGTTCTTACAACACAACCATCACCTGCACTGACTCCAGTACTTACATGCGTCCACGCATTATCTGTTCACCCATTATCGTAACCTTTTGCAAATTAACACAATTCGTCATACAAATATGTGATAAATCATATATAAAAACAACCGAAAACATGGAAAATGTACTTTCAAGTAGCTATTAAGTCGCTGAAATGTGAAGCGAAAATGTTAAAACCTAAAATGGAAATGTCAAAAACAAAAACGAAAATGTCAAAAACAACAGCGAAAATGTCAAAAACTAAAATGAAACCATAGAAAACTATTTCCACCGCGGTGCAAATATTATCACCGCGGTGGAAATAGTTTTCTGTATTTTCATTAAAGTTTTTAGTTTTAACATTTTCGCTTTTGTTTTTGACATTTTCATTTTGGTTTTTGACATTTTCGTTTCACTTTTCAGCGATTCAATTTCTTCTTTACACATGATTTATCACATATTTGTAAGACAAATCGTGTTAATTTGCAAAAGGTTACGATGAAAGTAAGTGAAATATCAAAATATGGAAAAACAGACTCCATGTCCCGTATGGGTCACCGTATCATTCCACCTACCCTGTTGTTTATCTTCTTCTTGCTTGATAAATTCCTTGGTGTACTAAACAAGAGATTGAATGCACTTCAGTAAAAAATATAAAAATATAAACTGACATAGTCGTAAACTTTGCCTTGGTTTCACATGGCTAGATAATACTATGGTTATTATAATACAATTATATTACAAAGTATATATTATTTATTACTCCATTACCCCAAGTACGCTTGAGGTGTTTATCAAGGATTGACTGCAACACCAAAACTTCAATGTGAAGAGGTATCTAGAAAGGACACTGTCACAAACTATACTAATGGGCCATTGTTTCACAATGGATGTAATGAGGACACGTACTGTGTGTCAAACGTCGATGTTCATGTATTACCTACTCCTACTCCACTGTCTTACTTACTTACTTACTTACTTTGGAGATTTAACGTGCGCTTTCCGACTGATGCGTATTTCGCACACGGGCCCGGCCAGGCCATTTAATGTGTTTCCGAAAGGGGCGAAGGTGGTCTGTGCAACCCAAGAGGGGGGTTTTAGGGGTTGCTTATATAGAATTTGGGAATTTTGAGATTTGGAATAGATGCCGATGGGATTGGGGAGGAGAACTAAGGGAGCTGGGTATGGTGGATGTTTGTTTGTTTATGTGATTTTGATTTGGTGAGTTATTGTGTTTTTAGATGCGTTTTATTAGTTCCGTTTTGATTAAGAATACGCCTAAGGCCTTGAAGTTTTCTAGTTTATTTTGTGGGTTTAGTATTGCTTCTAGAGTTAGAGCCTTGTTTAGATTGAGGGTGGTTTGTAATGCGGTTCGATGTGTTAGGTAGTGTGTGCAGTGGATGAGTGCGTGTTCTGGGGTTTCTGGTTGTTTGCAGTGTGGGCAGTTACCTGTAGTGTGTTTTTTAAATTTTTTTAGGTGGTTATTTAGGTTGGTGTGTCCTGTTTGGAGTTTAGTGATTACTCTGTCGATTTTTTTGGATGGATGGAGAATTTTTGGTTTGGTTAGTGGTTTGCTGAGCACTTTTTTGATTTGGCTATTTGAGTTTAGATATAGGTTATGCCATTTTTTGGTGATTTTTTGCTTGTTTACACTTTTAATTATTGATTTTGAGATGGGTAAGTTTAAGCTTATTTCTGGGATTTTGAGGGATAGTTTAGCTGCTTTATCGGCGTTTTCATTACCGTATATTCCTACGTGGGCGGGTATCCACAAGAAGGTTATTTGTTTGCCTGCCTTAGTTAGGTCGTTGGAGCTTTTAAGTATTTGATTTATTAATTTAGGTCGGTTTTTGGTATTTTTGTTTTGGAGGGCTTGCAGTCCACTTAGGGAGTCGGTAAGTATTAGGATTTTTTTTGTGGTTTTTGGATTCTTGATTATGGAGGGCTGAGGCCATGCCCATTAGTTCTGCCGTGAATATTGATTGGTTGTTTGGGAGTCGGAAGGATTGTGTGGTTTTAGTTGGTTGTGTGGTATGGACTCCGAAACCTGTGTGTTTGGAGGTCGTATCTGATGATCCGTCCGTGTAAATGTGACACCAATTTGGCCAATTTTCGTGTATGTATGCTAGTGTGGTAATTTTAGCTATGTTTGGGTCGGTTTGTTTATTTATTTGGCTAGCTAGTGTTGTGTCTATTTTGGGTATTTTAAGTTTAGGGGTGAAGATATTTGATTGTTTGCAGTTTTGTTTAAGATTTTTAATTTGGTGTTCATTTAGGTAGTTTGTTATTCTTTGGGATATTGGGGTAAGTAAGGGGTGTTTACGAGCTAGAGCTTGGTTTTTGGGGCTGATGTTTTGGTTTATTAAGTTTTGGATGAGAGGGTTTGATTGGGACGCGGCCCAGAAATTTAAGCTTAGCTGTTCCCTGCGTAGACTTAGTGGCATTTCTCCTGTTAAGGCCTGAAGTGAGGTGTAGGAGGTGCCATGTTGGGTGCGTGTAATTAGTTTGAGAGCCTGATATTGTATTGAGTCAAGTTTTTTAGATAGAGAGTTGTTTAGGGTGTTGTCACGCTGTCAGTGTATTACCTACTCCACTCACTGTCACGCTGTCAGTGTATTACCTACTCCATTCACTGTCACGCTGTCAGTGTATTACCTACTCCACTCACTGTCACGCTGTCAGTGTATTACTTACTCCATTCACTGTCACGCTGTCAGTGTATTACCTACTCCACTCACTGTCACGCTGTCAGTGTATTACCTACTCCACTCACTGTCACGCTGTCAGTGTATTACCTACTCCATTCACTGTCACGCTGTCAGTGTATTACCTACTCCACTAACTGTCACGCTGTCAGTGTATTACCTACTCAACTTATTACCGTGTCCACCCTCTGTCACGATGTCAGTGTATTACTCAGTCCACCCTCTGTCACGCTGTCAGTGTATTACCTACTTCACCCACTGTCACGCTGTCAGTGTATTACGTACTCCACTCACTGTCACGCTGTCAGTGTATTACCTACTTCGGGCGGTCGGGTAGCCTAGTGGTTAAAGCGTTCGCTCGTCACGCCGAAGACCCGGGTTCGATTCCCGACATGGGTACATTGTGTGAAGCCCATTTCTGGTGTCCCCCGCCGTGATATTGCTGGAATATTGCTAAAAGCGGCGTAAAACAATACTCACTCACTATTACCTACTTCACCCACTGTCACGCTGTCAGTGTATTACCTACTCCACTCACTGTCACGCTGTCAGTGTATTACCTACTCCACTCACTGTCACGCTGTCAGTGTATTACCTACTCCATTCACTGTCACGCTGTCAGTGTATTACCTACTCCACTAACTGTCACGCTGTCAGTGTATTACCTACTCAACTTATTACCGTGTCCACCCTCTGTCACGATGGCAGTGTATTACCATGTCCACCCACTGTCACGATGTCAGTGTGTTACCCAGTCCACACCCTCTCACGATGTCAGTGTATTACCATGTCCACCCCTTGTCACGATGTCAGTGTATTACCATGTCCCCCCCCTGTCACGATGTCAGTGTGTTACCGTGTCCACCCTCTGTCACGATGTCAGTGTATTACCCAGTCCACCATCTGTCACGATGTCAGTGCATGACCATGTCCACCCCCTGGCACGATGTCAGTGTATTACCATGTCCACCCTCTGTCACGATGGCAGTGTATTACCATGTCCACCCACTGTCACGATGTCAGTGTATTACCATGTCCACCCCTTGTCACGATGTCAGTGTATTACCATGTCCACCCCCTGTCACGATGTCAGTGTGTTACCGTGTCCACCCTCTGTCACGATGTCAGTGTATTACCCAGTCCACCATCTGTCACGATGTCAGTGCATGACCATGTCCACCCCCTGGCACGATGTCAGTGTATTACCATGTCCACCCTCTGTCACGATGGCAGTGTATTACCATGTCCACCCACTGTCACGATGTCAGTGTGTTACCCAGTCCACACCCTCTCACGATGTCAGTGTATTACCATGTCCACCCCTTGTCACGATGTCAGTGTATTACCATGTCCACCCCTTGTCACGATGTCAGTGTATTACCATGTCCACCCCTTGTCACGATGTCAGTGTATTACCATGTCCACCCCCTGTCACGATGTTAGTGTATTACCATGTCCACCCTCTGTCACGATGTCAATGTAATATCAAGTCTACTCATGCCTCAACGTGAGTATTGTAGAGTGTGTAGTCCTGGCTGTACTCACTTTGTCTACCAGATCCAACAGTTGATCGATGCGTCTGAAGCAGCAGGACCCAGGGCTTTCATGAGACTTGATGTCGTAACTAAGCTCCGGACCTATTTTAGCTAACAAAGTTCCACAATTTTTCACGCAGAGATGGAACGTGTTAGGTTGTCCATCGGTCTCAAAGTCGTCATCGCTGCCCGAGAGGACTACACCAAACTTTGGATGTGTCAAGAACAGAATAATAACAACGAGTACATTGCACATAAACAAACCAAAGAAACACGTCTTGACGTTTTTGTAAAATTGTTTGAGTTCAACGATGTTGTTGGAGGAATGAGAACTCCTCCTGCTGTGTCTGTGAGGGTGATGTCGTGTACGACTGTGTTGCCTGTCCATCATTGTAATGGGGAATCCGCGGGTAAGCAGGTAGGCTTGTGCTGTGCTGGTGATGTCTGACGGTTGCAGCAGGCCTGAACGACTGGAGACGGTCGGCAGTAATGACTCATATGTGTTACTGTGAGAGTCGGAGTCGGAGTCCACATCGGGGAGGTTGTTCTCCCCCTCGGGTATATCCGACATAGCGGGATACAAACACGTGTACACCACACTAATATTCTAGGAACTATTTCTTCGTACTGTGTGCTTCACCGTAACCAATGTGGCTGTAAGTACACCTACTCATCAGATAATATACACTTGATACAGCCCTAACTCTCCGAGGTGTGTTCCATGTCGCTACGCCAGGACACATTCCAGGCTGCTGACGCCGTGTCAGTATTAACGCGGGTTACTTTCAGTTTCCGTCTTGTGACGATCTAGTTCGGATGACCTACTTTTCTCTTGACTTGTCACGCACACTAGATGAAAAGTGGGACAACAAGAGGGAATTCTGTGTTGTGTGACACGTTTAGAATTCATAAAAAATGGAAAAAACCACAACAATAAATACTTACCTGAAAACAACGTGATTATGTAACCATGGCGATGTTACTGTCGCCCCATGTAAATTAGGCAACAATAGGGAAACTGCCGGTTTTTTACACAGCAGTTATTTTTAAAATAAAAGATCCCGATTTATAGCTGGTAATGCCCCAGACACCCGACGTCGATTAGAAAAAAAAAAGATTTCATATCGGGGGGTCGCTAGATATTGTCATAACGTGTGATCGCTAGATGTTGTCACATGGGGTGCTTGCTAGATGTTGTTATATCGGGTGCTTGCTAGATGTTGTCATATCGGGCGATCGCTAGATGTTGTCATATCGGGTGCTTGCTAGATGTTGTCATATCGGGTGCTTGCTAGATGTTGTCACATGGGATGATTGCTAGATGTTGTCATATCGGGTGCTTGCTTGATGTTGTCATATCAGGCGATCGCTAGATGTTGTCACATGGGATGATTGCTAGATGTTGTCATATCGGGTGCTTGCTAGATGTTGTCATATCGGGTGCTTGCTAGATGTTGTCACATGGGATGATTGCTAGATGTTGTCATATCGGGTGCTTGCTAGATGTTGTCATATCGGGTGCTTGCTAGATGTTGTCATATCAGGCGATCGCTAGATGTTGTCACATGGGATGATTGCTAGATGTTGTCATATCGGGTGCTTGCTAGATGTTGTCATATCGGGTGCTTGCTAGATGTTGTCATATCGGGTGCTTGCGCTTGCTAGATGTTGTTATATCGGGTGCTTGCTAGATGTTGTCATATCGGGCGATCGCTAGATGTTGTCATATCGGGTGCTCGCTAGATGTTGTCATATCGGGTGCTTGCTAGATGTTGTCATATCGGGTGCTTGCTAGATGTTGTCATATCAGGCGATCGCTAGATGTTGTCACATGGGATGATTGCTAGATGTTGTCATATCGGGTGCTTGCTAGATGTTGTCATATCGGGTGCTTGCTAGATGTTGTCACATGGGATGATTGCTAGATGTTGTCATATCGGGTGCTTGCGCTTGCTAGATGTTGTCATATCGGGTGCTTGTTAGATGTTGTCATATCGGGTGCTTTCTAAATGTTGTCATATCGGGTGCTTGCTAGATATTGTCATACCGGGTGCTTGCTAGATGTTGTCATATCGGGCGATCGCTAGATGTTGTCATATCGGGTGCTTTCTAGATGTTGACATATCGGGTGCTTGCTAGATGATGTCATATCGGGTGCTTTCTAGATGTTGTCATATCGGGTGCTTGCTAGATGTTGTCATATCGGGTGCTTGCTAGATGTTGTCATATCGGGCGATCGCTAGATGTTGTCATGTCGGGCGATCGCTAGATGTTGTCACATGGGATGATTGTTAGATGTTGTCATATCGGGTGCTTGCTAGATGTTGTCATATCGGGTGCTTGCTAGATGTTGTCATATCGGGTGCTTGCGCTTGCTAGATGTTGTCATATCGGGTGCTTGCTAGATGTTGTCATATCGGGTGCTTTCTAAATGTTGTCATATCGGGTGCTTGCTAGATATTGTCATATCGGGTGCTTGCTAGATGTTGTCATATGGGGCGATCGCTAGATGTTGTCATATCGGGTGCTTGCTAGATGTTATCATATCGGGTGCTTGCTAGATGTTGTCATATCGGGTGCTTGCTAGATGTTTTCATATCGGGTGCTTTCTAGATGTTGACATATCGGGTGCTTGCTAGATGATGTCATATCGGGTGCTTTCTAGATGTTGTCATATCGGGTGCTTGCTAGATGTTGTCATATCGGGTGCTTGCTAGATGTTGCTAATCGGGCGATCGCTAGATGTTGTCATGTCGGGCGATCGCTAGATGTTGTCACATGGGATGATTGCTAGATGTTGTCACATGGGATGATTGTTAGATGTTGTCATATCGGGTGCTTGCTAGATGTTGTCATATCGGGTGCTTGCTAGATGTTGTCATATCGGGTGCTTTCTAGATGTTGACATATCGGGTGCTTGCTAGATGATGTCATATCGGGTGCTTTCTAGATGTTGTCATATCGGGTGCTTGCTAGATGTTGTCATATCGGGTGCTTGCTAGATGTTGTCATATCGGGCGATCGCTAGATGTTGTCATGTCGGGCGATCGCTAGATGTTGTCACATGGGATGATTGCTAGATGTTGTCACATGGGATGATTGTTAGATGTTGTCATATCGGGTGCTTGCTAGATGTTGTCATATAGGGTGCTTGCTAGATGTTGTCATGTCGGGCGATCGCTAGATGTTGTCACATGGGATGATTGCTAGATGTTGTCATATCGGGTGCTTGCTAGATGTTGTCATATCGGGTGCTTGCTAGATGTTGTCATATCGGGTGCTTGCTAGATGTTGTCATATCGGGTGCTTGCTAGATGTTGTCATGTCGGGCGATCGCTAGATGTTGTCACATGGGATGATTGCTAGATGTTGTCATATGGGATGATTGCTAGATGTTGTCATATCGGGCGATCGCTAGATGTTGTCATATCGGGTGCTTGTTAGATGTTGTCATATCGGTTGTTGCTAGATGTTGTCATGTCGGGCGATCGCTAGACGTTGTCATATCGGGTGCTTGTTAGATGTTGCCATGTCGGGTGCTTGCTAGATGTTGTCATTTCGGGTGCTTGCTAGATGTTGTCATGTCGGGCGATCGCTAGATGTTGTCATATCGGGTGCTTGCTAGATGTTGTCATATCGGGTCATCGACAGATGTTTTTTTCGTCATATCGGTGCTTGCTAGATGTTGTCATGTCGGGCGATCGCTAGACGTTGTCATATCGGGTGCTTGTTAGATGTTGTCATATCGGGTGCTTGCTAGATGTTGTCATATCGGGTGCTTGCTAGATGTTGTCATGTCGGGCGATCGCTAGATGTTGTCATATCGGGTGCTTGCTAGATGTTTTCATGCCGGGCGATCGCTAGATGTTGTCATATCGGGTCATCGACAGATGTTTTTTTCGTCATATCGGTGATTGCTAGATGTTGTATTGGATGATTACGATTATAAAGTGCGGTATATCGTGTTTATAACGCGGGGGATATATCTAATTGTTTTACTTACGTTTTAAGATTTTTACTTCATAATCACAAAGCAATTTTGGCTTAAAATGTAGCCATTTCTCAGTGACATGTTTCTTCATGGAAGGGGTGGACTTAACTGCAAGGGGCTTCACTTTTATACTAGTGTATTAAGTCAGCATGTCTGCCAGACAACACCACAATTGTATTTGTAACCACTGGATTCAGGGAACTTTACGGAAGAGTTGATTCGGAAGTATATGTTAGATAAAACCGAATAGTATCTGCATCCGATCGTGCTGCGTCCGACTCTTCTAACGAAACCACGCACTTGGCGTCGCGCTGTCCTCCGTGACACTGTACAGCTTCTGACATCATACAGAGCGGTTTAGCGAGAAGTTCGTTTTCCTTTGCCACTTCATGACGTCATCAGCGTTTCATCAGACAGACAACTTTCCCGGGCTGGTAGGAGTGCTAGATTGTAACCGTCTTCAAATATTTGACTGACATGAATACCCAGGTCGCGGCTAAGATCCAGGTTCAGACATATAAAGATGTTTCTAATAGTCATATGCTTTTGATTATGACAGAAAAAGTACCAAATAAAGTGGGTGTCATTTGGAAGACTGTTGACTATACGAAATATATGGAAGACTTGACAATACGAAATATATGGAAGACTGTTGACTATACGGAATATATGGAAGCCTGCTGACTATACGAAATATATGGAAGACACTTGACAACACATCCGTCCGTCACACAAAGGAACAGGTCTGATACAGAGTCGGGGTTCAGAGTATCGGCTCTGGTCTGATACAGAGTCGGGGTTCAAAGTATCGACTCTGGTCTGATACAGAGTGGGGGTTCAGAGTATCGGCTCTGGTCTGATACAGTGTTAGCATTCAGAGTATCGGCTCTGGTCTGACACAGTGTTGGGATTCAGGATTTAGGGTATCGGCTCTGGTCTGATAAAGTGTGGAGGTTCAGAGTATCGGCTCTGGTCTGATACAGTGTTGGGATTCAGGGTATCGGCTCTGGCCTGATACAGTGTGTGGATTCAGAGTATCGGCTCTGGTCTGATACAGTGTGGCGATTTAGAGTATCGGTTCTGGTCTGATACAGTGTGTGGATTCAGAGTATCGGCTCTGGTCTGATACAGTGTGGGAGTTCAGATTATCGGCTCTTGTCTGATAGAGTGTGTGGATTCAGAGTTTCGGCTCTGGTCTGATACAGTGTGTGGATTCAGAGTATCGGCTCTGGTCTGATACAGTGTGGTGATTTCGTGGTATCGGCTCTGGTCTGATACAGTGTGTGGATTCAGAGTATCGGCTCTGGTCTGATACAGTGTGTGGGTTCAGAGTATCGGCTCTGGTCTGATACAGTGTGGACATTCAGAGTTTCGGCTCTGGTCTGATACAGTGTGTGGATTCAGAGTATCGGCTCTGGTCTGATACAGTGTGGTGATTTCGTGGTATCGGCTCTGTTCTGATACAGTGTGTGGATTCAGAGTATCGGCTCTGGTCTGATACAGTGTGGTGATATCGTGGTATCGGCTCTGGTCTGATACAGTGTGGGAGTTCAGATTATCGGCTCTGGTCTGATACAGTGTGGGAGTTCAGATTATCGGCTCTGGTCTGATACAGTGTGTGGATTCAGATTATCGGCTCTGGTCTGATACAGTGTGGGGGTTCAGAGTATCGGCTCTGGTCTGATACAGTGTGGGAGTTCAGATTATCGGCTCTGGTCTGATACAGTGTGGGGGTTCAGAGTATCGGCTCTCGTCTGATACAGTGTGTGGATTCAGATTATCGGCTCTGGTCTGATACAGTGTGGGGG